AGCGCAAGAAATCGCTGAAGGTGAGAGTGTATAGCTCGTCCTCGACTCCGCGATGCCCCACGTTCAAGAAATCGCTGTACACCTTCTGCAGCTTGGGGTAGCGGTTGGTTCCAGGTTCGAGCAGCGGGAACGGTTGGTGGCTCAGCGCAGCTTCGGGGCAGACGGTGCAGTTGCGCGGATATGTCGCGCCACTCACTTCGGAGCCATCAGGGCGCAGGAGTGCGCCAGGAGCGAAGACACCTGCGTCGATGCAGTTTTCCAGCGTCGCGCGAGAAGGATGTCCGAGGCGCTGGTGCCAGAGTGCATCGTCAGCGCGATAGCCGGAGGTGCGCATATAGCGCGCGCGTGCTTCCTCAGGGTCTTCGTCAGGTGCAGGAACGGGTTCTGCTGCTACTTCTTCTACTTCTTCTTCTTCTGCCGCGGTAGTCAGCATCAGCGCCAAGAACTCTCTGTCGCGAATTTCAGAAAGTGGGATGTTGGTCCCAGGGATAGTTCCAGGGACTAAGGTAGGTTGGCGTGGCTCAAGGGCAGGTCCGTAGACGGTGCGACGCGGGGTTGACGGCTCGTTGCCCCAGATGATGGTGTCCCAAGGGTCGCGACGCGGGGGAATATCTGCAAGAGGTGGTGCGAGTGGTATGTGGCGCGGGGGACGACCGAGAGGAGCGACTGCAAGTGCTGCTTCGGTTTCTTCAGCTTCTTCCTCTTCCCCCCTTCGTTCTTCGCGGGAAGTGCACCAGCCGCTGTCTGCGGCGGTAGGTACGGCGCCCCATCCGCCGCTCGCGTTGGCCCATGTTCCGCCGTTGTCTCCCCATCCACCGGTGTCGCTTGTTCCCCATCCGCCAGCGCTTCCCCACCCCCTTCATTGGAGGCACTCTCTTCCGCTTCGGCTCCCCATGCGCCGCAAGCGAAGGTGCCGCGCGCTTCGGCGAGGCTTTGCTGGCGAAGCTCTTCGGCTCCGCGGCGCGCCAGTTCTTCCTCTTGCTCCACGGTGAGTTTTGCCGAGGGGTCGAGCCGATGAGGGTACACCTTTCGGAATTCCTCGAGAGTGTAGGGGCACGGAACTCCTCGTGAGTCCAAGCTTCCGTGGCGTTGTCCGCGCAGGATATTGTCGAGCCGCTGGGAGGGAGGTCCAGCGTGGGGGCTTTGGTCGGTGCCGAACACGCGGCGAGTAGTCTCCTCGACCTCGAGCTGCGACATCCCTTCTTCTGGTGGCGCGTGGCACTCTGCTTCAGCGATGGCGGCAAGTCCGCGGCCCGCAATCGCGCTTGTTGAGGTCGTCGGCGTGTGACAATCCCTGCATATGCCGTCGGGGTCGGGGTTGTGTAACGCCGTTTCGCGTGGGTGAGGATGGTGTGGCACCCACGGCTTGCCGTCAGGGTGCTTCCAGTCCCTGCAGTGGATGTGCGCGAAGCGTAGTGGCACGAGGTCAATCAGCTCGTGCGAATCGCCGCTGCAGTCGGGGATGTCAACGTCCAGGACGTACACTCCATTTTCGGAGTGTGCTCGTCCGATCTGCCTGCGGAGGAAGTTGCGCGCCTCATAGTGCAGCAGGATATCTCTCGTCGCGCGATCCGTGCTGAGGTCGACGCCGCAATCCATCAGCTGTGCGGTGGACAGGAGGTTGAAACGCAGGTTCTGGACGATCAGCACATCGTTGAGCGTGATGTGCGTGCGGCTCCCGCGTGCTTTGAGCACGACGATGCCTTACGCGCTTGCGCGCAGGCGCGTGTTGTTCGCCACGGTGACGTAAGTGACGGCAGGGGTGGGGACGGTGTTAGATATGTAACGCTCGGAGCCCACCATATGCTGGCCGCAGCAGCTGTCCAGGTACCAGGTGTTGTAGCGCTTGTTGTCGTCACGGGCGAGCAGCGCCAGTCGCGGCGTGACGATGTGCGGAGTGTCGAACTTCAAAAATTGCTCGCGCGAGAGCCAATCAAGTGGCGCCACCCGCATATCCGGTACGTGCAGGGGGACTTTCAAGCAGCGGGACTGGAAGATTCCAGTCTTGGTCGTCGTCGTCGGTGAAATCGTGGCGCGGACAGAACGGATTGTTGTTGGTGAATGCGCCAATGGGGTGCGGTGCCGGCTCAGGTGAAGGCGAGCGGACACGGCGACGACGCGACTCGCCTGTAATGGCCATGTTGCTCATGACATTGCGAACTGGGGCAGTCGATGACAACTGCTGCTGCTGATGCTGAACCGCTGGGTTCAGATTGCGCGCGGAAGGGGGCTGATACCCCTGGGCTGGACGCACGTCGCCTCATGCGTCTTGACGGCCGGGCCAGGTCCTCGGATTGGTCTGGCGAGGGCGGGATCGGTTCTTGCATCGATCCGCCAGATGCCCGAAATTTCTGCAGATATTGCAGTAGAGGCGCCGTGGCTTTCGCTCTTCAGTGTTGTCGGCGTAGAAGGCGAGCCGTTCGCGTTCCTGTCGCGGCGCTGGTCGCTGCTGATCCATATCCCTCTGTTCGACGAGAAGGGCGGCGCAAAGGGCGGCCTCCGAGATGACCCCCTGCTGTCGGAGAAGCGCCTTGCAGGGCCGCCACTCTGGGCCGAGCCCTTGAAGCACGATGTTGACGAAGATTTCCTCTGAAATCGTGCTTCCCAGCTTCACGATTTGATCGCGAAGGCTCCGACAGCGATTGAGATAGTTGTTGACCTTCTTCCCTGCGGTCATCTTGGTTTCCAGGAGTTCCTGGAGTAGTCGGCTCGAAGAGACAGAGTCCTTGGGCTGATAGACACCTGTCAGGTGTCGCCAGGCGTTAAGGGCTGGAGCAGCCGAGGTCTTGTAGGAACGAATGTTGAGCTGCTCCGCCGGCGACATGTTCCGCAGGAGCACCCCGTACGCCATCAACGATTCGTCGTAGTACCTTGCCTTGGCGTCGTCGGTGTCCTCATCGGGCTCCGCGTAGCTCCCGTCAAAATAGTGGAAGATTCGGGCGTTCTGCAACAGGAGCTCCAACTCGAAGCTCCAGGTATAAAAGTCTCTGCCGTCAAAACAGGTACTTGTCTTTATTTTTGATATGCTGAGAAACCTTGATTGAGCGGAGAGAATTGCCTCTTCGCTGGGACGGGGAGTCTTGGGGGTTGAGCCATTGGTGTCGAGGGAGAATGTTTGCGGGGTGGCGTTCTGGCCAGTCGGGGCCGGTTGAGAGGGTTGCGAGGATGTTCCCGCATCGCCATTCCGCAATGTTTGGAGTCCTTGCTCCAAGCTGGTGAGTCGCTGAAGAAGTTGTGCGAGAACTTCGGAACCGATCGTCGTCGTGTTCTCGCTTGTCGCAGCCGGGTTGGGTTGCGCTTCAGCCGTCAGATTAGTCTGATCACCAGATCCTCCGGCCATCTTCACTCGTGAGCGTGTGCCGGACGCCACTTTCCGAATGTCGCAATTTTCGGGACTGGCAGTGCGAAGGATTCCCGAGCTGCTCTCATACCATGCTGCGATCAGAAGTTGATCGTAGCCCAGGATCTACTCAGGAAGGTTCGCACGCAATGTTGGTGGGCCCTTGACCTCAATAGCTGAGTGAATGTAAATGCTTGAGATAATAAAACATGCAAACAAGATGATATAAATAAGAGTACAAGGGAATACGAAAATGTTAAACTGTATTATGCTTGTAGGCTGTAGTGGGGTAGCCAATATGGGGTACAACCCCAACTAGGGTTTCATATTTGTACCCAAACTTCTGTTAGTTCATCCATTCTTGCCTAGTGATTCTAACATGGTATCAGAGCAGGAGGTCCCTAGGACCTACCGATCGTTTTTAGGGCCCACCACCGCTCGCATGCGGTTACCACGCTACCCCGTTCCCTAGCCTCGTAGCGCCCTCGTGCGCCCTCGTTAGCGCCCTCGCGCGCACCCTCGTTAGCGCCCTCGCGCGCACCCACGTCAGCGCCCTCGCGCGCCCCTTCGTTAGCGCCCTCGCGCGCCCCTTTGCTAGCGCCCTCGCGCGCCCCTTGCTAGCGCCCTCGCGCGCCCCTCACTAGCGCCCTCGCGCGCCTCTCACTAGCGCCCTCGCGCGCCCCTCGCCGAGCCGCCCGCTCGCAGCCCGCCCGCCCGCTCGCTGCCCGCTTCGCGGCCCGCTCGCTACGCAGCCCGCCCGCCCGCTCGCTGCCCGCTTCGCGGCCCGCCCGCTTCGCAGCCCGCTCGCTCGCTGCCCGCTTCGCGGCCCGCCCGCTTCGCAGCCCGCTCGCTCGCTGCCCGCTTCGCGGCCCGCCACTTCGCAGCCCGCCCGCCCGCTCGCTGCCCGCTTCGCGGCCCGCCCGCCTCGCAGCCCGCTCGCCCCGCTGCCCGCTTCGCGGCCCGCCCACTTCGCAGCCCGCCCGCCCGCTCGCTGCCCACTTCGCGGCCCGCCCGCATCGCAGCCCGCTCGCCCCGCTGCCCGCTTCGCAGCCCGCCCCCCGCCCGCTGTTCGCTTTGCGGCCCGCCCGCCTCGCAGCGTCGCCCGCCCACCGTGCTGCCCGCTTGCAGCGCCGCCTGCCCGCCGCGCTGCCCGCTTTCCGGCCCGTCCGCCGCGCTGCCCGCTCGCAGCGTCGCCCTCCCGTCGCACTGACCGCTTGCAGCGCCGCCTGCCCGTAGCGCCAGCCTCGCCCGCTGCTCTCTATCCGTGCACAGTCGTCTTCCCCTGCTGCGGCAGCTTTCGTTACTCTGTCACACTGTCGCTATGGCTTCCATTCGCGTGCTGTCGTTCGATACTGAGGGCCGCCCTGTGCGCTTCACCGCTTGGCTAGATGACCTGCAGCTGTTTCTCCTGAGCGATAGCAAGGAGCATGTGTCGCTCTATGACTACGCGTCTGGTGCTGCGCCTGCCCCTCCTGCCACAGCTGAGCTTAGTGTTCGTTCCCACTGGCAGACTCGTGACGCAGCTGCTCGCCTAGCCATTCGCAGTCACCTGCCGTTAGCTGAGCTAGAGCATTTTGGCGACTGCAAATCCGCTAAGGCCCTGTACGACGCTGTCGTCGCTCGCTACTCCTCGCCTGCCACAGCCGAGCTTAGCCGCCTCATGCTGCCGTACCTGTTCCCCGATCTGTCCACCTTTACTACAGTCGCCGATCTTATCACCCACCTTCGCACTAGTGATGCTCGCCTGCGTGCCGCCCTTCCCACCGAGTTCTGCGCTAAGAACCCCCCTCCACTGTACTGGACACTCCACTTCATAGTCACCCGTCTCCCTGACACCCTCCGCTCAGTTCGAGACCACTTCCTTGCTCGCTGTCCCACTGAGCTCACAGTCGCCCTCCTAGAGGAGCACCTGCTCGCGGCCGAAAAGAGCATTGTAGCTGTCGGTGCTGCTCGTGGCGCTCCTCGCACCCCCATCTTTGAGGGGTGTTCTCCCTCTCCCCTCGCTCCCTCCTACGCTGCTGCTGTTGCTGTTGACTTCCTTGGTGCTGAGTCTGTTGGCGCTGCTTCTACTCCTGGTGGGAGGCGCCGCACCGGCAAGGGCAAGGGGGGCAAGGGTGGTGGTGGTGGCGCTGGGGGGGGAGGAGGTGGGGGAGGTGGGGGGGGAGGCGGTGCTGGAGGGAGCGGTGGCGGGAGCGCTGGTGGGAGTGGGGTCGGTGGTGGAGACGGGGGCGGCGGAGGGACCAGTGGCAGTAGTGGCGGCGGCGGCGGTGGCGGCGGTGGCGGTGGTGGCGGTGGTGGCGGTGGCGGTCGGAGCGGTGGCAGTGGTGGCGGCGGAGGTCGGAGTGGAGGCACTGGCTCTGGCCAGAGCTCCCAGCAGCAGCAGCGTCCCCAGACGACCCAGCAGCTTCGTGAGTGGCTTGCTCAGCGTGGGACGTCGGGGGCCAGTGCCCGCTGTTCTTATGTCATTCGCACAGGTGACCGCAAGGGACAGACGTGTGGGAGGTTCCACACCCCGTACCGCTGCTTCTCCCGCCTTGACGACGCTTGGCGTGAGGAGATGGGTGCGGATGTTGAGCGCCCCCGCTGGGCTGAGCTCATGAGGGCTGGTGTTGATGTCTTTGCTCTTGACTATGATGCTATTATTGCTGCCATGTATGCATTGACTGTTAGTGCCGAGGGAGACTGTTACTTGTGTGTGCCGCCTGACCCAGGTATAGAGCCCGCTGCCCTGGGTACTAGTGAGTCTGCTCTCTCTGGTATGGTGCCCCGTGTACTTGCTCCCTCCAGTGCTGTCCCGACTGGTTTCGAGTCTGCTCTCTCAGGTACAGCACCCACAGAGACTGCTCTCTCAGGTACCGCACCGGCTGAGGCCTGTCACACCTTCACCCTTGACTCAGGTGCTTCCCGTTGCTTCTTTCGTGACAGTACTGAGCTCACACCGCTCCCTGCACCGGTCCCAGTCTCCTTGGCTGACCCCTCTGGGGGCCCAGTCCTTGCCCAGTCCACCACTGTCCTCCCTTGTCCGGCGGTTCCGTCTGGCTCGTTGTCGGGTTTCCACCTCCCCTCGTTCTCGACGAACCTGGTGAGCAACGCTGTCCTCCAGGATCAGTGGGTTGACACCTTTACCCCTGGCGGACAGCGTGTGGCGATCTGCACGTGCTCCAGGACTGGCCGTCACCTGGCTACGTTCACCCGTCGGCCGGGGTCGAGTCTCTACACACTGACCACTGCGTCTCCCCAGGTAGCTGCTGTCGGTCAGGTGTCTGCGTCAGGTCTGGTGGCCCACGCCTGTGAGTGTCGTTCCCTGTCGCACCAGACTCTTCTCTGGCACCACCGCCTGGGTCACCCCTCCTTGCCACGCCTTCGTGGCATGCACCGTCGCCTCCTTGTGTCCGGTCTTCCCCGGTCCCTCCCTCCCCTACCTGCCTCGCCTGCGCCGCCCTGCCTTCCTTGCGTCGAGGGGCGGCAGCGCGCCGCTCCTCACTCCTCCTCGTTCCCCCCGACAGAGGCTCCTCTGGAGACCCTCCACCTGGACGTGTGGGGCCCAGCCCGCGTTCGTGGTCAGGGCGGTGAGCGGTATTTTTTGCTGGTTGTCGACGACTACTCGCGTTACACCACGGTCTTCCCCTTGCGCACCAAGGGTGAGGTCCCTGCTGTTCTGATCCCTTGGATCCGCACGGTTCGTCTCCAGCTCCGCCGCCGTTTCCGGACGGATCTTCCTGTCCTGCGTCTGCACTCTGACAGAGGTGGTGAGTTCTCCTCCGACCTCTTGAGGACCTTCTGTCAGGCGGAGGGCATCGAGCAGACCTTCACGCTTCCGGACTCCCCACAGCAGAATGGGGTTGCTGAGCGCCGCATTGGCCTGGTCATGGAGGTCGCTCGTACCTCCTTGGTCCACGCGGCGGCTCCCCATTTTCTGTGGCCGTTTGCTGTCCGGTACGCCGCGCATCAGCTCAACCTCTGGCCCCGTGTCTCCTTGCCGGAGACCTCGCCCACACTGCGTTGGACGGGGGAGGTTGGCGATGCGTCGCGCTTCCGGGTGTGGGGTGCTCGTGCCCTTGTCCGCGATACGTCCGCGGACAAGCTCTCCTCCCGCACGCTTCCCTGTGTCTTCCTTGGCTTTGTCCCTGACGCGCCTGGCTGGCAGTTTTACCACCCCACCTCGCGCCGGGTCTTTGCCTCTCAGGATGTCACCTTTGACGAGTCGGTCCCTTTTTACCGTCTCTTCCCCTACCGCACTGCCCCCCTCCCTCCCCCGCCACTTTTCCTTGCTCCTGGTCCCCCTCCGGTAGACCCCCTTCCCCCTCAGGGTCCTGCTCCTTCAGGTGTCTCTCAGGTAGACCCTCCTCCCGTCGCTGAGCCTGTCGAGGTCACAGGTGACTCAGGTGCTGCTGCGGGTGGTGCTGCTGGGAGTGCTGAGCCTGGGGGTGCTGAGCCTGGGGGTGCTGAGCCTGGGGGTGCTGGGCCTGGGGGTGCTGGGGCTGCAGGTGCTGGGACTGAGGGTGCTGGAGCTGAGGGTACGGTGCCTGAGAGTACGGAGCCTGGGGGTGCTGCGCCTGGGGGTGCTGAGCCTGCGGGTGCGGAGCCTGGGGGTGCTGCGACTGGGGGTGCTGAGCCTGCGGGTACTGAGCCTGCGGGTACTGAGCCTGGGGGTGCTGCTACTGAGCCTACGGAGCCTCGGGTTACTGCGTCTGGGGGTGCTCCGGTTCGGGGTGCTGAGCAGTCTCTCACACCGCAGCAGCTTCGTGACTGGTACGTCCGACGCTTTCGTCGTCCTAGTGGCTCGGCTGGAGTTGGGGGTGCTGGAGCTGCTCGTCCTGGGGGTGCTCGTACTGGGGGTACTGGAGCTGCCGGGACTGGCTGTTCTGGGAGCACTGCGACTGGAGCTGCTGGAGCTGGGGACTCTGGCGCTGGCGGTGCTAGCGGAGTTGGAGCTGCCGACTCTGGGGGTGGCGCTGCTGCTGGTGCTGCGGACCCACCTGGTGGAGCTGCTGCTGGTGCTGACGAGTCGGACGGTGGAGCTGCTGCTGGAGCTGGGGACCCGGCCGGTGGAGCTGCTGCTGGTGCTGTGGACCCGGACGCTGGAGCTCCTACTGGTGCTGAGGACCCGGCCGCTGGAGTCCCTTCTGCTTCTGGAGACGCTGCGCGGCCGCGACCGTACTTCGTACCGCTCCTTCAGCAGGTTCTTGGGCAGGCTCCTCCTCCTTGTCCTCCTCCCTCCGTAGAGTGTCCTCCGCCTGTCCAGCCGCAGTCACAGTTACCGCCTGCCTCGCCTCTCCCTGCTCCCTCTCCTTATACTGGTCCCACAGGAGGTCTTACAGAGCGTCGTGAGCCTGAGTCTCGTCCTGCGTCGCCTGTTCGTCCTGCTCGCACTGGTAGTCGTGTCCGTCGTGAGCGTCCTCCTCCTGTCCCAGGCACTCACTACATGACTCTGCGTCCCTCTACTGCTCCTCGGCGTGTCCCTCTACCGTCTCCTCCTGCGTCCTCTTTGCCTGCCGTTCCGGACCCTGAGTCTGACCGGTATCGCGCTGAGCACCCTACAGTCACGCGTCTCCTCGCTACTGTTGTCACTGACCCTACCTTTGAGTCCTCGGCTGCGTCTGCTCTGGTCGCTGAGTTGGTTGACTTTGCTGCTGCCTGTCGTCTAGACTACGCTGCTAGCCTTGTTGCTGCGTCAGAGTCTGCGTCTGTCTGTCCTCCGTCCGTCGGGGGTGAGTGTGCTCTTGGCACGGACGTCCTTGAGGACAGGCAGGAGGACTTTGACTCTCTTGCGGCTGCTGTACCTCATCTCGTGGCCTGGTTGCTTGCCCCTGAGGGAGACCCGGATGCGCTAGACATCCCCACTCCGCGCACTTACGCAGAGGCGATCTCGGGTCCCTACTCCTCTCAGTGGCAGACAGCCATGGACGCAGAGATGGCATCCTGGAAGTCCACAGGCACCTACGTCGACGAGGTTCCCCCTCCTGGGGCGAACATCGTCGATGGCATGTGGATTTTCAGGGTGAAGCGGCCGCCAGGTTCTCCGCCTGTCTTCAAGGCTCGTTACGTTGCTAGAGGCTTCAGTCAGCGTCAGGGGGTCGACTTCTTCCAGACCTTCTCCCCCACCCCGAAGATGACCACTCTTCGGGTTCTGCTGCACGTTGCTGCTCAGCGTGACTACGAGCTTCACTCTCTTGACTTCAGCACAGCGTTCCTGCAGGGCAGCCTGCACGAGGAGATCTGGCTGCGCCGCCCACCTGGCTTTACTGGGTCGTTTCCCCCTGGTACCCAGTGGAGTCTCCGCCGGCCAGTCTACGGTCTCCGCCAGGCGCCACGTGAGTGGCACGACACACTGAGGACTACTCTTGCGGCTCTTGGGTTCGCGCCGTCTACTGCTGACCCGTCGCTGTTTCTGCGCACAGACACGTCGCTGCCGCCGTTCTACATTCTCGTGTACGTCGACGACTTGGTCTTTGCTACTGCTGACACTGAGGCACTCGCTCGTGTGAAGTCGGAGCTGCAGAAGAGACACACCTGCACTGACCTGGGTGAACTGCGTAGCTACCTTGGCTTGCAGATCACCCGGGACAGAGCTCGCCGCACCATCACCCTGACTCAGTCACACATGGTGCAGCAGGTCCTTCAGCGCTTCGGCTTCCAGTTCTCCTCACCACAGGCCACACCTCTGGCTACCAGCCACTCGCTCTCAGCTCCACCTTCGGACGAGTCCGTAGAGCCGAGTGGCCCGTACCCAGAGCTTGTAGGCTGCCTCATGTACCTGATGACTTGCACGCGACCTGACCTCGCGTACCCTCTTAGCATCCTTGCTCGTTACGTTGCGCCTGGGAGACACAGGCGAGAGCACTGGGAGGCTGCTAAGAGGGTGCTGCGTTACCTGTGCAGTACATCAGGCATGGGGCTGGTGCTTGGAGGACGCGACAGAGTTGTCCTCACTGGTCACTCGGACGCCTCTTGGGTGGACGACCTGGCTACGCAGCGGTCGTCACAGGGTTACACCTTCAGCCTTGGCTCAGGTTCTGTCTCGTGGCGGTCCACCCGCTCTTCCTCTGTTCTCAGCTCTAGTTGTGAGGCTGAGATCTACGCCACAGCCATGGCTGCACAGGAGTTACGCTGGCTCACCTACCTGCTGACTGACTTGGGAGAGCGGCCTAGTTCTCCTCCAGTTCTGTACGGTGACAACAAGGCGGCTCTTGCCTTGTGTCAGGAGCACAGACTGGAGCACAGGACGAAGCACATTGCTCTTCGCTACTTTCTTGCTCGAGAGCTTCAGCAGCGCGGTCAGCTTCGGCTTGTGTACGTGGACTCGAAGGCCAACACTGCTGATATCTTCACCAAGGCGCTCCCGCCTAGTGATCATCAGCGGCACTGTACTTCTTTAGGCCTTGTGTCCACGTTTCCTCACTTGCTCACTGCTTGACATTCTTTGTACTGTACTTTATATATATCCTGTTGCTTGCTTGCTAGGTTTTGATCACTGTGTTGCTTGTCTTGTACTATATCTAGCACTGCATGTGAACTGGCCTTGTGGCCTTTACTTGTGCTCGGAGTGTGGTGACGTTGTGATCCACCCTGGGCTTTGTTTTGCTTTGCTGGACTGGTC